TTGGTACTGTAGGTGGATTTGTTTGTTATAAACTTGGGAATGACTAACTGCATCAACTTCAGTTTAAGATACTAAACAAATTAAGTCTCTCTGGCTCTTGAATATTCTTCTTAGTCTATAATCCCCACCACAAAAAGCCTTAGAAAGTCTGATTAAATTGCCTCTTATTGAAGTCTCCTTCCAAATGCATTGAAAATAAATAACAGATGCAGCATGCACTCTGAGTCAAATGACCAGAAAGGCACATTTTCTCACTCATAGTTCTATGATGTTTTGAAATGAAAATTAGTCTGATTCCAGGAGCATCTCAAGTGTATAAGGTTCTTTTCTATACTACCATTTTATGAGCCTCTGATATTGATAAGTAGAAGTCCCTTTAATGCTTGTATTCTGTTCGCAAGAAGGAAAGCTTTAGCATTACTTAAATAATGTTAATCTAAAATAACCTGATATTTCTTGTAGCAATAAGAGCTTTGTTCTTGTGTAGACCCTGACTAAGTTAAGATCACAATCGTTGTGATATGCTGGAGGGCTAAAATATTTGCTGCTAAGGTCTGGTCATGCCAAACTGTCATAGAATCATAGAATAGTTTGGTTTGGAAGGGACTTTAAAGATCATCTAGTTCCAAACTCCCTGACATGGGCAGGAACACCTTTCACTAGACCAGGTTGCTCCAAGCCCTGTCCAACCTGGCCTTAAACACTTCCAGGGATGGGGCAGCCACAGCTGATCTGAGTAACCTGTTCCAGTGTCTCACCACACTCATAGTGAAGAATTTCTCCCTAATATCTTACCTAAATCTATCTTCTTTTAGCTTGAAGCCATTATTCCTTGCCCTGTTATTGCAGGCCCTTGTAAAAAGTCCCTCTACACCTCTCTCACAAACCCCTTCAATATTAAAAGGCCCCAGTAAGTGTCCCAGGAGACTTCTCTCCTCCAGGCCTGACAACCCCAACTTTCTCAGCCTGTATTCGTAGGGAAGTGCTCCAGCAACAAAAAATCAAACAGGACCAGGGCGTGTCTAACCTACTGTTGGTCTTGATTTTAAAATGTTGTGTTGTCTGGGAAATGACTACTTTTTTTTTTCATATTTGATTTCTCCCAAATAGTCATGAAAGAGGGAGTTCTCAGGGTAAATATTGGCTATTTTATATACAGATATGCCTTTGGTAGAATTATTACATCCTGTTTCAGGAAGAAGGATGGAAATTTCCCCTGTGTTTGCATTGGTTGAAGAGCTCTGGAATTTATACTTTACTGACAAGAAAGAATGACAAGTCTTGTAATGCTTGTACGCTCATGAGTAGGGAACTTTGCAAACTCGAGCGAGCATCCAAAGTTTGTGCTTAGCAGTATTTGAAAGAATACATAGCAAAATGATAAACAAGAACACTAATTTTTTAAAAAGGGGAACTTTGAAAAGGTCAGCATATATGCTTAACAAATGCTGCTGCCAAGAACGTTTATCAGAATTCTGGCCTAAGAAAGTAGAATTTCCATAGAGAATGAAAAATCTGATCATTTTTGGTTTATGAGGGGCAAGATGGTTGATAGTCTGACATTTAAAATGTAGCTGGAATTACATCCTGAAAAAAATCATATTTCTCTGAGATGACATCCCTTTGAACCTACTGTGGCAGGGATTTTGGGTCTGAATATGTGTTGTGTGAGAACACTAATGGTATTTCTTCACTCATTATTTCTGACTAGGTGATCTCACTTTTAGGCTGTACTGTTAAACAATTTTAAATTGACATTTTCCCCCCACAATTTTATCTGAGTTTCCCTAAGGTGCTACCAAAGTCTGTCTGGTTTTTATTCACGGAACAAGATAATTCAAGAAATACTCTTGTGGGCCAGACTAATGGTCCATCTACCTTGATGCTTATTTTGTGACAGTGCTAACAGGGCATTCAATTGGGGGATAGCACATGTGCCTCTCTGCTTTCAGGGATCCTTTTCCCTTGTACTCTCTTGACATCCATCTTTTTTGGATTTGTGGTATTGGATGGGACATCCCTGCCTTACCCTTCAGTATCTGTTCATGGACCTCCTGTCCATGAATTTTTCCTTTAGCCTGAACTATCTGGAAGTTAATCCTTTTGGTATTTTGGTCTGAGGAATGAAGTTGTTAGATGTTCACCTTTCTGAGATTTATTCTGAGTTTTGGTTTCTGAGCACCAAGTAGGATTACAAGTACTCATAGTTAGTTCTGCTATGGTAAATAACTCAGTTTTGAATTGTTCATGCTCGTCTTCAGCAATCTTCCAGATATTCTGTAATTTGTATTTAGTTTGGGTTTGGATGAAAACTTTCGCCAGTTATCCCCTCTCATAAGGAATTTTGTCTAAACACTTGTGTCACATGAAGAATTGTTCAAATGCTTGTATGTAAACAGGATTGGTGAGACGTGAAGAAAACCTTCATGACTGTGTACTGGCCAAATCAAAACTCTCAAAATATCCAAGTAGCAACCTGCTACTTGCTGCAAAACCTGGGATAAACTTATTTATCTCTACTAACTCTTCCCTCTCAAAGCAAAGAAACAGTGGTAGAATGGTTACACTTTTCCCATTTTATAGCTCATATTTGGAGGATTTAAGGTAAATTCTTAAGATTCAAAACCAGTAAATTTTTAAATATAAATCCACTGTGAAACTATATAGTACAGTAACTACATTGATTTGTCTATGGAGGTGAGGGAGAGTATCAAATTCCTTCTGATTTTAATTTGTTCTTTGTGAAGCAAAATTCTGTAATTATTCCATTGCAGAAGATGATAGAAATACATATTTGCACCTGTTTGTTTGATTTTAATGTTTAACTTTTACTATTCAGATTTTTCAAGCATCTTACTTAGAAGATGTAGTTTGGGAGCTTTGATAGAGATGGATTGACAAAAAGCATCCACCTACTTCCCCAAATCTACATCCTTTTATTTTATCACAATTCAGCATTTTGTTTTCGCTGCTGAATGTTACTACAATCTGATTTCCTAAAGTAGCTGTTGCTCATATGCCAGACTAGAATAACAATTGTCAAGTGATAATTCTGTCAAATCATTACACAAACACTTGATTTTTGAGAGGAAATTGTGCCACCTTTAGTTACTGTGGGTTTTAAAGGCCTACTAGAAGAGCCATTTTCAATATGCCATTCAAAAGTGCCATCAATGAATAATCCAGAGAAAACTTCACAACTGGGAGAGTGCAAGGAATATAAATAGGATGGAAGTCTGAAAACTTAGTTATATATGTGGTTAGGATTGCTTCTGCTATTATCTGATATCTCAAGATTTTTAAAAAGGAAATGAAGGATTATATTAATAAACAACAAAATAAGCTGTTCAGTGAGTTCAGTATAGATCTCTCCAACTGAGGTATTTGTTTAGACATGGTCAGTGAAGAGTATTTCTAGGACACAACAGATTTCACCCAGTCAGAATCTCTGAAAGCAGGTCAGATGAATCATGCTGTGAAATGTCTCTCTAATTCTGAGATGGCCTGCAGAGACTAGCTCAGAGATGCTGCTTAAAACTAGATAAGATGAATTTAATCCAAAATGACTGTGGTCCCAATGATCTGATTGTCCATAGATGAGGTTTATGCCAGTTAAAAATATACCAAGTTAGACCTTTCAGGTAATGAAATAAAATTATTAATGCCTCCATGAGAGGCACCACAACAGCCTCCCCAGGAATACTGCCAAGCATTCAGGATGCCCAGGTATAGGAAGCATGAACTTAGGTGTAACAAACAGAGAAATGAGAGTAAAACAAATAGGGGGAAGGGAAAGGTGGTTATTGTGAGGATACTAAAACCTTTATTTCCCTTGAGTAAAATAAAGGCCAAGAGAAAAGGTATGCTGTGTGGAGAGGACAACTGTGAGTTAAGGAGAACAATTATTTAATCTGAAGAACAGAGCTGGGGCAGAAATAATTGGCAGAAAATCAGACTGGAAGTTAGAAGATTTCCAGCCATCAAAGCGGTTCTGAAGGAGTCTCCCAAGAAGGTGGTCAGGTTTTGTTTTTCCACACACGTCTAACTGTTTGCAAAGTGGAAAATGATACATTTATGAAAGGAATGTGAAACACGGTTGCCTCTGATAGCAGGAGCCTGGACTTGAAATGCCACCACTTTGATCCTAGAAGGGGATGAACATGCATGACTGCACTTATTGAAGTGACAGTAATTATGCTGTAGATATGCCTATACTATCAATGTGAATATGTTGTGGTGCTTCTTTAAACTTGTAATTAATACTAATTGAGCTCTGAGAAACTGAAGGGTTCCTCGCTTTTGCTGAGTGTAACAAGTTTGCTAACTTATCCCTCTTCTTGAAAAACTCCATGTTAATGAAAGGAAAGCACTGTATCTGATATGTTGATAACAAACAGCTCAAAGCACTTCTTACTGTGTAAGCTAAACACATTTTCCCAGCATAGTGCTTCTGCTACATGTGTTTTCCCTTGGTATTGTATTTACTGTGCTAGACATGTGATTGTAGATTAATACTTTCCCTAAATATTCTGCTAAACACAACTTTGTGTCTGCTGTGAAGAAGTTAGCACAAATGAAAAAAATGATAAGTTTTGTGCATAAATTCAAGGTGGTTAGCATGAAATAAAAGTCATAAAATCATGACTTTAATTAGCTTGCATAGGTCAGTACGCAACCGAGTGTCCAGCCAGCAAGAGTGCCCCCAGTTTGTGATGTGCTGAAAGGCTGTGGGCTCTGCAAGACAGATGTCATGGTACCACCTTATTTTTTTGCTTCAGCTGCTGATATATGACAATTCCCGTAATTTTTTTAACATGTTGAAGTTCATCAAACCTTGAAAAAAAAAAGATTCCTCTTTTTTGTCTTTATATTTTGTAATTCTGGGAGACAACATTATGTCTTTCTTTGAAACGGGGTTAATTTTAAAATAGCGGGTGAAACTCAACTTGTTTATCGAGTGAGTCCTGTATCCTTGTTCTGATGCCCTGCATCTTTTCTAGGTGTGCAGCTGCCATTCTGTCTCAGCAGGACTGTGTTTGCCACTTCATGAGCTGCAGGTAAGCCCTGAGGCCATTACCCAAAGTTTCAGAATCCCAGTCACCCAGTGCACATGGGGCCATGGGCAGTGCTGAGGTTCTCCATCCCATGGTGGCTTTCCCAGGATGGGGAGGAGACACTCCCTCTGTGTTTGAAATGGCTCCCAAGGAGCTCAGTCATGGTCCTCCTCACAGCGCAGGGCTGTGTTTCAAATCAGAATGTGCCATTGGACCATGTAGTTTAAACTCATAAGTTTTTACATTTTGTGCTGTCACTCCCTTGTATTTTGTCTTTGAAGCAGGAAATTATTTATTTAATAGCTATTTATCTTTATAGCAAGAATGCTTAATTCCTGAAACAAACTATCAGAATTTGTTTCTTTCACCTGATTTAAATTTGACCAGCTTTAGCTTTGAGCCATAGATGGTATTTTTTTCCTGTAATCACTGCTACATATTTGTTCAAGTCAGCTAAAATAGATCTGATATCTCTTAAAAATTTTACCATAACACATTGCCCAGTATCCAGTAGTTGTGTCTCTTCCTTTACCTGTATTTTTTCCCCATATCCTTTTAAAAATATACAGAATTTTCCTAAACGTGACTGTAGGATTACTACTGATACTGCAGTTGGAGGAAAAAGCAGTTACCTGTCACTCCTACTTCACCAGCGCTTTGAACATCACGGGGTTGTGCTAAACTTTTTATGCTGGGCCCTTGTATTGAACGGTAGACCCCTGTGCTTTACTCTGTTCCCTTCAACAATGACTCACTTGGTTTCTCTTTCTGATCTAAGGATGGATTTTGAGTGCATGGTTGTTCACACAGGTTTGCGTTTTCCAGTTCAAACCATTTTGGACAGGCTCATACTCAAAATTCTTTGATACCTTTACTTTTCCTCTCCCTTCAGATGTTAGGAATGAGTTTTATGGTAGGTTCTGCTCATACTCCCAGCCGATATGAATGTGCGATCTCAGAAGAATATCAAGCCATAATGAAAAGCGTATGAAAAAGTCTTTTGAATTATACTATATCTAGAGATTATCATCAGTTAAAATGACACTAATTTGGCCTGCTGGTGGTCTAGTACACATCCGTGTGAATGGGTTTTACCTTTTTGGTTTATTTAGAGGAGCTGGCTATTGAAAGTGAAATATTTACGAATATTAGCCGTAAGTGTGAAAAACAAGTCTGCCTGGCTGCTTAATGTTTAATCAGTAGAAAGCAGGCATATCGCTGTGTTCTTGAAAAACAGTATTTCACCAGCCTATTTCAGCTGGAGCAGGTGGCAGAGACCTAGCTTTTTGCATACAGTGGCATTCCTAAAGCCAGGCCTGATAGCCACACTTAGACTTTCCTTCTCTCTCTTCCCGAAGGCTTCACAATCGTATTTTCTTACCCTCCTGCTTATGTTTCCTCCTTTTATTGCAAATCTTTTGTTAAGGTCTTGGTTTCTTTTTTTATTTTTTTTTTTTGTGTGTCTGAGACCGATTTCTTTTTTGCCATCGTTGTTTTCCCTCAATCTTCTGCTTATCCATAAAGCCCGGATAATTTTTTTGCTTTATTTTCTTGGTCTTTTTTTAACATTACTATACTTATCTGTTTTGTATATCTGGAGAAAATTTTGCTCTACTTTGTCTTTCTGCTGAAAAAGAGATCATGAAACTAAGAAAGGATCTTGAATCCCTGCCTGTAGGATGGTGGAAGCCAGCTGTCCAAACAGACTGTGTATTTTGTCATAAATTTATTGGAAGATGAGTGTGTTTTATTAATAAGAATTTGCACTTTTGATACTATCTTTGCAGTCAGAATAGAGATGCATAAAAACCCAGTTAATAATTCTGAATACTAATATTAATAGTATAGGAGTGAAGTCCTCTTTTTATAATATAGGACATTTTGTTCTGGAAAATTTCTTTTAAAAAATGGGAGAAGTTAAAGAAATAAAAAGAGGAACAATAATCTTTTGGCTAGAATCAATGATTAGTTGCTTCTATAGCTGGATATCCTACAGAGCAGTCCCCATCCACTAGACTACATTATTTTATGATGCCTGGACTATGTTGAGAAAACTTTCTTGCTTTTACTGGTAGGAGCAATTGTCAGCTCCCACATTAAAGGCTATTTAACCTGTATGTAATATAGTATGTACTGCCTGCAATATTTTTGCAGTCGATGTTACCTTAAGAAATCTGCACACTGCATATTTTTGTCAAACAATTATGCACAAGGTTTTTTCCATTTCCATTTCCCCCCTTTTTTGGAGTCCTTTAGTCTTTTTAACTGTTAGCATGTACTGTAAAAGTCTGTTTATTATGCAATTGAAAGTTACTCATTTATTTCTGTTTGGAAATTATTCTTGGAAAAAGACAATGACTAGGAATAACACCTGCACTTCTCAAATTTGAGAAAATTACAGTATACTGAAAAAAACCCCTACGAAATGATATCTGTTTAAAAAAAAAATCGAAACAACTTTATAGGATACACTGATCAGTGTTGAACTTAGCTGGTAGTACAACACTTCATCCTACAGCTTGTCATTAAATAGAAGGAAACTGGAATAGCTCCACTCTACATGTTCAAAAACCCAGCGTTCCGTCTTAAGGAAAATCCCAAATATAAGGAATGCCATTGTTTCCTGTGCATGTGGTGTCTGGTTGTATTAAGTTGAAGTTACTGCCATCTGGTGGGCAAAGTAGTGTTATATCCCAATAGTTGGAAGCAATTCTGTTAGGGTTATGTTCTCTGTGTGTGTATGAATACTGTGTGTGCCTCTGTGTGTGTATATATACACACACCTATACAAACATCGATATAGATATATTTAATATGAGCATTTGGTTGCTGATTTTAAAAGAATTTTCAAATATTCAGTCATACAGAATGACCTGCTGAATTGGAGATTAATTAAGGGTAGGGAAATGTAGGAAAGAAAATAAGGAAGACATAAGAGGCAGAGCAGACAGAGATGTGAAATATGTGCTGTGGTACTGCCAGTGCGCCCACACTTCTGGTCTGGTTTAACATAGAGAATCATGTACAGAACTGTCCTCAGAATATTTCTTTGTACTTTGTACAGCTGGAGGTCTTGCAGTTTGTGCAGTGTTTCATGTAGCACTTCCTATCATCATATAATAGAATCATAGAATGGCCTGAGTTGGAAGGAACTTAGTTCCAATCCCTGTACCATGGACAGGGACACCTTCCTGGTGTCCTGGTTGCTTTGACCAGGTTGCTCAAAGCCTCATCCAGCTTGCTCTTGAACACTTCCAGGGATGGGGCATCCTCAGCTTCTCTGGGCAACCTGTGCCGGTGCTTTACCCCACCCTCAAAGCAAAGAACTTCCTGCTAATATGTGATCTAACCCTACTCTCTTTCGGTTTGAAGCCATTCCCCCTTGTCCTGTCATCACAGGCCCTTGTAAATAGTCCCTCTCCATCTTTCTTTTTGGCTCCCTTCGGGTACTGCACACCAAAATTAGATCACCTCAAAGCCTTTTCTTTTCCAGGCTGAACAATCCCAATTCTCTCAGCCTTTCCTCAAAGGAGAGGTGTTCCATCCCTCTAATCAACTTGGTGGCCTCCTCTGGACTCTGTGTTAGAGATGACCACTAATTATTGCTGCAAAAATATCTGTGCAGTTTCTACCGTATGCCTCCATTCCTTGCTTACGTTTTCTCTTTGCTTCACTAAGTTTGCTCCTCCTCGAGTCTTGACATGTACTTGTGTTAACTATTGTCTGATTCCTGAAGGATCAGCCCAATAGGAATGGATTTACATGAGTGGTGCATCAGGGGAGTCTGTGGGGCATTTTACACACATTAAATTATTCGTGTTTTCTCAAGGAGCTAACACTTATGTTAGATGTACCCGTGCAGTGAATGATAGGCAAAGTGGTAAGTGAAGCAAGATTGTGGGAGACAGTGTCAGGTGTCTATCTTTAGTAAGAAGTTGCTCAGTAACCATGTGAGGATAATAATAGTGTCCAGAATTTGTTCTTATTTCATTGGTGTGGTGTCTGAAGACTCCAAATAAGATTAGGTCTGCTTTGTGTACAAATATTAAATTGCTTTTGTGCTTGTCATATGCTGTGCTTTCTTTTGGTGGAGAGCGGTACAAGTGATCCTTTGCTTTTGATATGCAGAATAAATTGCCATTTTCTCTTCTATTAGGTTTGTATCAAAAATGTATCTTTAACTGGCATCTTCTCATGCTCAGAGTCAAGGAAAAGTTAGGGAGATCCAAGAGTGCCTTGGGGTGCGTAGTGGTGCGATCGGATCCCCAATTTGGATTGGTCAAATCCAAAGCCTTCCAGCTGCATGATTAGTCTCCGATGGCATCCCAGCTGCCACTGTGCCAGAGCTGAGGCTGGCCAAGGTAAGGCTACAGGAGGCATACATGGCTTCAGTGTTGTTCCTCGACAGTCTCTGGGCCCTCAGTGGCACGTGATTAGTGATGAACACGAGACACAAGATCTGAGTGGAGCTGAGATCCCTGGATTCTGAGTCCTGCTGATTTCAGGTCACTGAGGAGACTTGCTTCAGGCACTCGTGAACATTGTACCTTGTGCTGAATTGGAAAAGCAAGAATCAGTGGCAGAGTAGTATTAGATTCCTCTTTAAAGGGATAACTAAGTGCTGCCACCCTATACTTTATTACAGCATGTGTATTATTCTAATGACATCCTCTCTGTTGTCTTCTTTTTTTTTTGCGGGGAGAGACCCTTGCTTTGGTGGGCTTTCTGATGCTGTAGTCTACAGAATATTGTTTCTTTGGCTGCTTACTGGCCTTAACAGTGACATCAGAGTCTTGCTTATCTGACTGCATGTTACATTCTAGACAACTAACCTGAATTGCAGGAGCTCATCTGTTTGATAAGATTTGGGGCTCTGCTTCATTTATAGGTGGGTTTTTCATTCCTGTCTTATACAGAGCATCTTATGAGGAGATTCTTGGTTTACACATTTACGAAGTGATGGGTCAAACCCAGGTTGTAGGCAAGCCACATTCTTCTTGCTC